TAAGGAGACAAGACCTGATTTCTAGGTAACAATTTTCTTCTATCATCAAATGCTGACTTTTTTTTTTTTTACCTTTTCTGTCATAAGAGTTTGGAAAAATTTCAAAATATTGTTATGATGGATGAGAGGGATAAAAAAGTAAAGAATATTAAGATCTAATACTTTCATTATGTTAAATATTTTGCTTAATGCTTCTCTGATGTAATAAGAATCATAAGTCACATTTAAATATACTTTCAGTTTTACAGAGCACTTCACAAATATTAGCTCACTTGACCTAAAGTGATAAGAAAAAAATTTTAAATCTTATTTTTACATTAGCAAGGATAAAACCATCCATTATTTCAACAAAAAGGAGAAGGAGAGAAAAAATACACAAAGTATCTTGACTTTATCCAACAATATGGGCTAGGGACATGGGGAAGACTAACTCATATTTTCATCTTTCTGATTTTTTACTCATCAGATATTTTCCATGCATGTATCAGAGGGTCATAAATCTTGAGCAGGACAAGACTTCAGAGGACTTCCATTCCAATCCTCTCCTGTTATAGATGAGGAAACTGAGGCCCAGAGATGTTAAATGATTTGACCAAGTCATTTGCCACAAACAACAATCACAGGTGGAATGTGAACCAAGGTCATCTGACTCCATAGCCACAATACTGCATTGCTAGGTTTGTGCCACAAGCCTTTATTAGCCATGCTACCTTACTCCATGGATGCTCTTTTAACACAGACCAGAATGTGCAACCCCCGCATGCAGAGAGTTGGGAAAAGGCCAAATTAGCAGCTTTGTATATTTTGTTTTGTTTTGCTTTTTCAGGTTGGGTTCACATATAGCTGATTAAATTCTAATCTCATCTCATGTGATGAAAGCAGAGAAAATGAATGGTTATTGAATTAGGCAGGACACAGTTTCACTTAGTGAATGTAAATCTGGAGGCTGTCTGATGTAGCTATTCACTCTGCTGATTACAAATGGGAAACAGGTTGTCCTGCCTTGCATTGGCAGGAGCTATCCTAAAGCACGTTGGGAGATAATCTGTTTTGTTTCAACTCACTTATTTGGTACTGCAAAATTGAAAATACTGACTGTGCATGTGACAGAAATATAAAAAGCAAAGATGACAATTTTCTAAGAAAGAATGCTCATAAGTTAAAAAAAAGGCAGAAAATTGAACAGAATGTTACCACCTTTCCTTCCCTGATTTGGAATTCAAATAATCCAAGTTCTAAAATTTTATATCACTGCAAAATATAATTGCAGTATGTTTTTTTAATGGTTTGAGTGTCTCCAGAATTTTTTAACTGTCTAAATAGATGTTAATATCTAATATGCAGCTATCTCTGTAAAGAACTAAAAACAAACAACCCCCCCCCAAAAAAAAAACATTGAGTTTGGAGTGGCAATTTGGTCCTGGTCATTAGGAGTACAGCACATGGACATAGGTAAATTTTTAAGTGAGACTTCTCCAGTCACCTTTGGAATATTTCTAGGGACCTAGCTTTAGCAATATGTCAAAATGGAATATATAGAATGTCTGTTCCTGTAAGCCTGATCTTAGGGGGGAAAAACCCAAAACTTTGTGTAAGGGAATACAATAGTAGTATCACTTTATCATTTAGTAAAAAGGATTCTTGAAATTAGAATTGTAATAATTTCACAAATTAGGGCTGTTGCCTTGGTTCTCAGCTAAGCATTTTAGGGCAGTTTATTTAGTATTAAACAAATTTTTAAAAAAGACTCTATTACATACCAGCAGTCCAAAATATTCCCCTTTAAGCAAGTAGAAGTGTCCCCTGCCCCTTCTACATAAAGGTACACATTCTTTTGCCCTTCTATGTTATTACAGAACAGAGAAATGAAAGACTCTTTAGAGATAACCTAATTCCCAACCTCCTCATTTTATGGATGAAGAAATTGAGACCCAAAGGTGGAACGATTTGTCCATAGAAGGGGTACAATTTGAATGCAGATCTTCTGACTTCCAATCTTATACCCTTTCCTTTAGACCATAAATATGTCCTGAAATGCCATTTCTTCCCCCTTTTCCTTTCTAGGTTTCCCTTTTCAATTTGACCTAATCTTACTTATGTAAATATGGTGTGTGTATGTGTGTGTGTGTGTGTGTGTGTGTGTGTGTGTGTGCATGTCTGTGCATGTGTATGTGTGTGTATGTAAGAGGGCTACAACCACAGTGGGCCTTCCTACAGACTGCATGGCTCTAGGATGGAATGGAGACTTTTGCCATACAAGCAGCTCTAATGTTTGAAAATCTTCCTATATCCCATTCAGTATGTATATAGGTGGTAGTGAATCCTGACACCTCTTGCTTCTCTTATGTAGTCTGTGTATGTATTTTATAAATACTTTAATTTAAAGCCAGCTATTGTTAATGACCACAGGAAAGAACAATTAGAAAACTAAAGACTCATCTTGTTCATACCTCCAACGCACTAGGTAGTTTTTTCTTTTAGCCAACAATTTGAGTCTGAGTCATGATTATGGACTATTTGTGACAATTATTAAATGAATCTATAATGGAATCAGAAGAATTAGAACCAGATCAGATGTTGCCTAGATCAAACCACCTCATTTTTTACAGATGAAGAACATGAAACCCACAGAGGATGAGTAATTTGTTCAAGGCCACATAGGTAGTGACTAGTAGATCTGGGATTTGAATCCATGTACGCTGAGACCAAATCCAAGGCTCTAGCTTCTCCTCAAAAGCCTTGCATTTTATTCCAGGACTCAAGCCTAGTTATCAAACTTCAGAAATGGAAAGGGCCTTGGAGGCCATCTCATCCAGTCCACACAGGAGTCCCTTCTACAACGTGACTAACAAATAATCATTAAGAACAACTCCAGAAAAGAGGTGGGGAGTCTTCCAAAGCCTCCCATTCCACTTTAGCTCTATTAGGATATTTTTGATTGATTTGAGCCTGACTTAAATCAAGTCTAAACTTTAATGCAGAGAAACCTTTAGTCAAGAGAGTTACTAAGACAAAAATAATACTTAGCTTTCAGGATTAGAATTTAAATTAAAGCCTCATTGATAGACTTGTCAGGTTTTCTTTCCCATTTTCCTATTAATTAATTTCTTTCTCATATTAACTAGTACTTAAACTAGAAGCAGTTAGGTAGTGGAGTGGATGGAGTACTGGACCTGGTGTCAGGAGGGACTAGGTTCAACTCTGGTCTCGGACATTTACTGGCTATATGACCCTGGGCAAGTCACTTTACTGTTATTTGCTTTAGTTTGCAAATCTGTAAAAAGAGGATTATAGTAACACCTGCCTCCAGGGCTGTTGTGGCATTCAAATGATATTTGATCAAACAATATCTATCAAGTGCTTTTCAAGCCTTAAATTATTTTATAAATGCTAACTATTTTAATCTCTAGCCTTAAGATTTATGTTGCAACTAAACTTTAATATCGTGTACTATTTTTAATCAAAAAGTTTGGCTAATACATATGCAATCTCTGTATTTCTAAGTCTCTGGGTATATATTTATATAACAACTAAAGATTGAATACGAACTAATGGATCCAGTAGCAAATTAGTGAATTGTGCTTCAGATTACACTTTATTTCCCAAAGGTAATCTTTAGTTTGTTTGACTTTTAACTTGATTTCTTTCCTTAGCAGAAAAAAATACTGACCTATAATTATTCTTTGGCATAAAATCAAAGATTTCTGAAATTTGAACATGCTTATGGAAATAAAACTTTTGTTTTCATTTCTTAAGAATGGTGTTTAAGGAAAAAAAAGACTTAGACAAGTCCCTCGAGAAAGAGAAATGGAAATCTAAGTACAGGGAATGCACAGGCTGAGAATTCTTTGCTTCAGGCATCAGCTTCCTCACAGACCAGTGAACAGACCTGAAACTGGCGAAAGAATGGCATGCTAAGACAATAAACATGCCATAGGATGTAGTCCAAGGGTTTCTAGCATGTTTTGCCGACTGTCTGTTTAAAATTTAAAGGAAGGAAAAAAAAAATTTCTAGAAGTCAAGAAATCATTTTTATTCTCTTGCATGTGCTGGACCTTTAGATGAAACACAGGAACTTTTTAATGACAAGTTGAATATATTATTATTTAAATATGTTAATTATTTATAGTCTCTAAGTGACATGATTCATTTTTTGCCTTTGTCAAAATTAATAATGAATTATTCTTTTAATTAAAGGTTTTTCTTTGACACAAGATTATGCTTATAATGGCTGATCTTTTAAAAATGAAATCAATAAAATACTCCTTTTTTCTGAATTGGTGATTAGACTATGACTCTTCTTGAAAAAGATCAAGCAAATTCTTCATGATTTTTTATCAGAAAAGTATGGACATTATCTGAGCTCATGACTCATTTTTCCCCTACCATATGCACTGTGAACCCCTGTGAGTTTTTCCTTAAGATTCTTTTTCTCAATTTTAGAAAAGCACGGAAAGATGTGCAAGAGATAATGAAGAGTGAAATGAGCAGAACCAAGGGCAATATTATTCCAAGAACAACTTTGAATGACTAAGTCATTTTGAGCATTATAAATACTCAAATCAACTATGAAGGACCTATGAAGGAAGGTGCTATTCGTATTCAGAGAAGGAACCGATGAATAGAAGTATACATAATATAGTTTTACAAATATATACATAATTGTGTCTACTAGTAGCCTTCTCTGTGGTGGGATAAGGAGGGAAGGAGAGGGAAAAAAATAAAATATAAAAAGTACACAGTAGAGAACAAAAGAAAACTTAGACAGAAGACCAGAAAAGCAGGGTATCTTTGAAAATGATGTGTAGTATTTATTGCATGTTTTCTTTAAAGTAAATTGTGAAATGGAAATCTATGATTTTTTTGTATTGAATCCTCTTTTTATGTTGTGCCTTGTACATGGAAATGTTCTTTTTTGTCTTTTTGTATTTAACTTCAAAATGAATAAAAATAAAAAAATTAAAGATTGTAAAAGATTTTAAAAGTTAAGAGTTAGGAAGTAAAAAAAATTCATTTATGCTCCAATTTAGGAAATATCATTGGTTCTTTTTAGTGGGAATTGTTTGAAGTCCTATAAAGACTCACAGATTTATAGCTGGAAGGGACCTCAGAGGATATCTAGTCCAATCCATCTAATTTTACAGATGAGGAAATGAAGCTCAGGGAAGTTGAAAAAGTAGGTAGTGTGCCTCAGAGGCTAGATTTGAACCCAGGATCTCTGACTTCAGAGTCAACACATTTATTATTCTGTACATACTGTACATAAAGTATCTTTCTCTTTAATTAAATATGTCAGAATAAATAGGGCATTTAAATGAGAGGTCTGGTCAGAGATATGGTGGACAAGACACAGATGAATATAACAGCAGATTTCACAGCCACAAACATTTCACAAATATCATAATTATCTCTAACACTGACACACTGCCTTTTGTTTCCCACATCCTTATAAGGTACTAAATGAAATTTCTCAGCTCCCCTAAGAGGTAGATAATGAGACCCATTTTACAGATGAGAAGCTGAGACATTAGGAGGCTAAGTATGTTCCCAAATGCTGTAGAAGTTGATCATCAGCAGAGCCAAGATCAATATGCAGGAAATTCTGGCTCTGTGTTGTGTCCTTGGTCCTTTCATTGCTAGTATAGTGATTTAAAAGCACAGCTTGTGTTTCATCTTGTAGCTCCAACTTAAGCTCCAAACCATATTTTAATTTTGTGGGATACCTATACACCAAATAGATAATTAGGTCTCATGAAATCAGATCAAACACAGTAAAAGGTATTTATAATATGTTTGTAATAACTCTTAGATTATTAAGTAACACAACCCATGTTAAAAACAAATAAAGGATGTTTTGATAAATCAAGATCAAGAAATAAGCATCGACATTAGTGTGACAATGAAAATGACATGGACTACTGATTTCTGGTGCTACACCCTAAAAAGAGATGTTGATAATTGTACACAATAAATAAGTGATCAAAAATAAATTGGATTTCAAACTGCATACACGTCCATATGCTGATCTGAGTTTTCCACCTGTGTGCACCTACGTCCCTCTGGGAGGGTAATAAACGTGATATAATTTGACTTTATTACATCGAAGACATCTCTTTCTAGAGCACAAGATATATCTCTGTTTGTTGAAATAATTTACCAAAGTCATCAAATAAACATTGAAAACAACAAAGGAAAAATAAATCATCTCATGTAGCAGTGACATTAACCTAACAAGTAATATGTCCAAAGTGAAGGAGGAGAAGCAGATGGGGGGCCTTGGTGGGGGAGGTGTGGCAGAGGAACACAGATTTACTGTCCTTTCAGCTTGTGACAATGGCATCCAGTGGGGTCAATACTCTAGTTACTATGTGAGTAGCCAATACATTAGTGAAACGCTAAGATAGATGACACACAGCGTTATCCAGTCTATTCTCGTGATTGGTGGCCCGATGTTACCTGTCACGTAGAGGATGGCACTGGAAGAGAGAGTGCCACTAGTGTTTTGGGCCCGAGCAACATAGAGGCCTGCATCTGTCTCACACACCTTCTGAATGAACACTGTGTGCTTTGTCTCCTTGTGTAAAACCTTTAAATGCCCATCTGCTGTCAATCTCTGGCCCTTCTTGTACCTGAAGCAAAGAGTCAGTTTTTCAAGTCAGAACCGGGTTTTGTTTTGTTTCTTAATCAACACAATTTTCAAAGTTGTAACACCCTATATAATTCGACACATGACTTCTATAATTCCTTAATAATAGACCCAAATTTATGACTCCAAATATCAATTCAGTTTTTAATCAATAAATATAGGTATCTACTAATTAGGCTTTCCTGCATTATCATGGTCAAATTATAAATTCCACATTAGAAAATGTTATCTTTCAGAGGTAGTTATTACATAAATTAATAGTTGCTAATATCAGTTGACAATTGTATTCATTGATTAGCTATAGTAAATATAGAAATAAAATGTCTGCACTTAGTGTAGCTGTCTTGCCAAAAGTTGTGAGCAAAGACCAATTTTGTGAGTAACATCGTGTTTTGTGTAGGCAAAGGGGCTGACTCCTGTCAAAGGAGTTACTATTACATTCCATTAAGGAATTCCTCATTCTTCTATTAAGCAATGAAGTATTCCTTAACTTAGGTATTTGAAAATTCAAATTTTTGCATATTGAGTTTTCACAAAGTGAGCCCATATGTAAAGAGCTATTTCATTCAATTGTCTGTCAATTTGGAATTTGCCCATTTTTAAAATTCATGATTCCTTCAATCTAATCAGTTGTTAATTTAATGAACTTGTTTTCAGATTTTAGTGGCAAAGATGATTTCCCCAGCAGTGTTGAGACCTTTTGAGATATGTATTATCCAAATAAATATTTTTTTATGGGGGGAACAAGTAAGAACTCGAACAACATTTTTGGATTAAACTAATATTTAATAAAAGTAAAATTAAATATAAATGTTTTCCCCCATTGATCAAAATCAAATTCCTACTTAATCAAGGACATAGATATATCTATTCAAAAAACAAAAGATAATACTACCAATTTAGGCTCCCCTTGCTTTTAATATTCTGCAGAACAGACATTTTCTCACACATATTTCAGGGGACTGGTAACCATACCCAGCCTCAAGTACCTTTGCAATAACACGCCTAGTATGTAGAAATCTTTCATTAAAATTCAGACTATGCTAACATTATAATAAGTGAATAGCATTCTACTTATGTTAGTTCATGGTTTATAAATAAATAAAAACATGATCTCTGCAAAGCCTGTTATCATTGATTCTTTACCTTCAACCATTATGGAAGTCTGGTTGAAGTCTAAAATTTTTCAAATATTCAAAAGCATCCTATTTTTTGAGAAAGTCATAACCTTTCTAATGCAGGACAGAAGGTACTATTACAAACAATAATAATAATAATGATGATGATAGGGTTTCAAAGACCCATATATTGTGTTTTAGTTTTCTTTACAAATGTTAAAAATGTTGAGAACTCCATATTGAAATCTTCTAGCAATGGGGTCAAATTTAAATAGAAACAGATGCCTAAGGACAGCATATTGATTTAGAAATCCACAAGTTATTGTATATTTATTTATTTAGTTAAACATTTCCTGATTTTGTTTTAATCTGATTTTGCCTGTACTCCAGAGTTTTGTGGGTGGATTGGGACCATGAATTTGACACCTCTGCTCTCGTATACCGATTTCATTGTTACTGTTCACGTTTTTTTTTATCCATCACCTGGATCAATTGTGAAACACTTCTATCATTCACATTTCAGATGGCAGAAACTATTTTAAGGAATTTTAATAATGTAAAAATAAATTAAAAAAACAAAATATAACAAAGATTATGCAGCATGTGTAATGTGTTGAATACAAGGCAGAAAAAAGGGAAATGAAGAAAAAGGGAGGAAAAAAATCTTTCAAGTTTCAATTTTTTTCTCCTTAAATAGCAGATATTAAATCAAGGCTTTCCCATGTTTGTAGAAGTAGACAGGTGTCAGATTATGGGAGAGAATTAGTCAAAACATAACATTTAGAAGAATGGGATATTATGCAGAAAAAAATAAGAAAAAAGGAAAAAAAGCTGCCTTTTGATGCTTCTTGAATTATTATTTTATATGGTGAGATTTCCCTGCCCCTCTCTCTCAATAAACTCATTATCAGTACTGTTATTTGAAAGAGCATGTTTGGGATCTGGTGTGAGTTTATACCATGCAGAACTGTGCAGGTGAGGGATAATCATCAAATCATTCTAAATCTTTGTTAGTGCCCACAGAACTACTGTTTTCAGTGACTTATAATTCATTTTGATTCACTGTTTTTCATTATAAGCTACCCACCAGGTCAATGTAGGCTCTGGAAATCCTGTTACTTCAACTTCCAAAGTCACTGGAGAACCTTCCATGACTGTGACATTAGACAGGAGCCTGGAGAAGTTAGGTGCCTGACCAGCTAGGCTGACCTGGCTGTTCTTTCCTGATGTACTCTTAATCTCTTCTTGTGTGACCTGGGAGCTTCTGCTGGTGTCTGACTGAAACAGGAGACCTGGGAATGCATCAGCGTTAGCATGCAGCCTATCTTCGGTTTTAGTAAAGTTATTATTATCATGCAATTGTTCTTGGGTTTCAAGCATGCTTTTGTGAACTTCGTGGCACTGTTGCAAACCTGTTTCATGCACTTTACTCATCATGCTCTCTGGAGGTTTAGCATGGATTTTTCTGATGGTGGTGCTTGTTTCCAGGAATTCCAGGGGAGTTAAAGGGGCATCAGCCTTGAACTTGGGGCAGTGTCCTGGGGAGAGAGGTATAGGCCTCTCATCTGGACATGAAGCTTCTTCCCTCCAGCAATTGGAAATAAAAGCATCAGGTACTGAAGGACCAGGTTTGGAGGTTCCCCTTGGATCACTGGCATTGATCTTCATCTGTAGATTGTAGGAACTGACGTGCAGGCTCTGAGGATTCTGCATGGGCAGCTCCTCAAACTCCACTTCAGATTGCAAGAGGTTTGATTCAGGGCTCCCAGGAAGTGGAGGCAGGGAGATATCATCTGGAGAGGCACAATCAGATTCATCCCCTGAGGGTCCTTCTTCAGAGAGGAGCAGAGCCTGTGGGGAGTCCTCTTTGGCAGAAGATGATCCTTCCTGGACAAACTGGTCCTCCTCTGCTCTTCTGTGAACCAAGATAGCTGCCACTGGCTCTTGTTCCTGGGGAAAGAAGAGACAAATAAAAACAAAGATTTTTCATGAACCTTTTCTCCCAGATGCAAACCAGCTAGAATAAAACTCAATTGCCAGAGAAAGAGCAGCTTGAGAAAGATAAAAGCTTGAAGAAATGTTAAAGTCTCATTAGGAAAAGGCTTCATAATAAGTGATTTCTTAGACTGTTTAAATCCTCCCTCCATGGCTAAGGAAACACTAATTTGATCCAAAGTGGATCAGGGTCTTTTCAAGTGAAAGTATTCCATTAAATGGAAGATAGGAAAGAAAGATACTTAGGCTGGGGGTCAGTGGACTTGAGGGCAGTTTAGGTGGTACAGTGGATGGGTGGATGGGGGAGGCTGGAGTCAAGAAGATTCATCTCCTGGAGTTCAAATCTGGCCTCCAATACTTACTAGCTATATGACCCTGGGCAAGTCACTTAACCCTGTTTGCCTCAGTTTCCTCATCTGTAAAATAGACTGGAGAAAGAAATAGCAAACCACTCAAGTCTCTTTGCCAAGAAAACCACAAATGGGGTCATGAAGAGTTGGACATGACTGAAACTAACTGAACAAGTGTCCAACTCTTTGTGAATCCATTTTTAGTCATGTTGTGAAAGAAAAAACAGACCAAAAGAAAAAAAAAACCCGCAAACACAGAAAGTGAAAAATAGTATATTTTGAGATGCACTCAAACTCCTTCAGTTCTTTCTCTTGTGAAAATTGATTTTCAGAGGTTCCCCCCCAGCCAGTCTCCTGCTGTAAAGTTTTTTGCAAGGACATTATTGATAATGAGATTGCATTGAGTCTTATCCTGGTCAAACTCCAACCCAGGTCTGAATAGATTTAATCTGCTCAGGCTTCGATGGAGACAGATTCTTATGCCTAGAAAGCCCAAGACTGGGAGTGGTCTGGTATGGTGGTGGGGTGGTGGTCTGATATTTCCTGTGTCTGGAGTTAGAATGATGGCAGTATGATATCAGCTCCTGTTGAAAAGGTATTGTACCAGGATTAACTGACCTAAATCATGTACTCAAGGACCCTTATTTTAATATATCTCACCTCCCAGTATGTTGACCAATCAGAGTTGATTGTCACCCCTTGGGAACACCTACTCTTGTACCCCCAAATCCCAAATCGAGCCAGTTCTGGACTGGCCCCTTTCAGGGGGCTCAGTTCTAGACTGTAACTCCCATGCAATGCACATCATCAGCTTGTGAGAGAAATTAAAACATGGACACACAACCTAAATTGTTTGTCTTTCTTAGAACAAACTGTTTTGGAGTTAATGCTACAGATATGGATAGCATTTTTCATCATGAGTCCTTTGGAATTGTCTTGGATCATTGTATGGCTAAGAATAGCTAAGTCATTTATAGTTGATCATTGTAAAATATTGCTGTTACTGTGTATAATGTTCTCCTGGTTCTGCTCATTTCACTTTGTATCAGTTCATGTTAAGTCTTTTCAGGTTTTTCTGAAATCCACATGCTCATCATTTCTTATAGCACAATAGCATTCCATTACATTCATATCCCACAACTTGTTCAGTCATTCCCCAAGTAATGGGCATCCTCTCAATTTCCAATTCTTTGCCACCACAAAAAGAACTTCCATAAACAATTTTTTTGTACAAAAAGGTCCTTTTCCATTTAAAAAAATCTCTTTGGGATACAGACCTAGTAGGGGTATTGCTGGATCAAAGGCTATGCACAGTTGATTTGATAGCCCTTTGGGCATAGTTCCAAACTGTTCTCCAGAATGGTTGGATCAGTTTACAACTCCACCAACAGTGCATTAGTCTCATACCCTTTTTTAGCCTTCCTTTGCATACTACATTATCAGGTATTTGCTTTTGTTTTACCATTTGTCTCTTAAGTGTAAGAATGTGTTACATCATCAATTGGATTCTAAATTTCCTCTGAGGAAGGGACCTTGCCTTCTAAATTTTGGCAGTCCCAGGGCATCTACTTAAAGGTTCAACATGTACTTCAAACACACTTTTTAAATAAATGAATGTTCAGTGTGAGAACTGAGTTTAAAATAGAACAATGTCCTTTTGTCTTATACCATGGGAATTTTTTTCTTCCTTAAAAAAAAGATGGGAATAGAATATATAAACCCAAGTACAAAGGAAGAGAAAATAGTTTCCTTCCACTCCCTGATTGAGTTTGAATTCTGGGCCTCAAAGTCACAACTCAGATACGGTCTCCTTATTTTATGCTACTGATAAAATAAACAGCCTGTGTAGGGAAGGTCCCTACATAGGGATGGGACCAACTTGGGCACTCTCCTGCTGGCTACTCACAGATATGAGTGGAGAGACAGTGGGCAAGGTTCTACTTTCTTTTTGTAGAACCCGAAACAATTTAAATGAGAGGCATAGCTAGAAGCACTGTGGGTCTGGTGGTATCGATTTTTTTTCTTTATCAGGGACTTTAAGAAGCATATGGAAGCTCTATCAATGATTAGTACAGCTTCCAAAAGCTGGGAGCCATTCTTTTCATCTAAGAATAAACCTGAAGTCCATGGATGCTCTCCTAGACATAAAAGGGAAAGTCAACCTTGTGTGGCCCAAGGGGAAAAGGCCTAGAAAATGACCATTTCTGAACCAGAACTTTTTGGAAGAGTTCCTGAGCACTGCCCCTCTAAAGTCTCAAGTTTGACAGTTTAGAGATCTGGTCTCCACAAAGAAAAGAGGTGTTTTCTGAGAGCACCTCTCTTGGTGAAATGAGATCACACATGTGACCTTCACATCTGGAAGATGCAGTAGCAAAGAAAAGGAACTGCAATATGGGAAAACAAGCAATCTAGACTTTGCATTCTGCTCTTATGAGTTATGCAGGGTGTGGGTGCTATGAGAAGAAGGGAGGTTGCCTGTTTAACATGCCCGTGGACATTTCCTTTTGAGCGGAGTCCAAGGCCTAAGAATAGTACATGAGGTGGATGTTTATATGGGGCTGTGTGGGATTAAAGAGGGCCTCAGTGGAATGCCAGGGTGTTGCCTATCTAAGAGTTTCAAATTCTGCTCCTTTCTCAGGAGGGGTCTGAGTACCATGAGTGTGGAGTGCTTTGGAACTCTGTAGAAAAAGTAGAAACCATTGGAGAAGGAACGGAATTTCATGAATTGTATATGGGCTATTGTTAGTCTCTTATGTACTTTCTATAGTGCTTATGTTCTCTCCTGAGTTTTTTGCATATCTGCGTTTTTTTTTTTTTTCTGTGTTGTGCAATAAAGGTTGCTCTGTATTGAATATATGTCTCGTAACCTTGAGGACCTGGAAGGAAACTTTTAATCACATCTCTGGAGACTGAAAAGTCTCCTGTGCTCAAAGAGTGTTCCAGCATCAATTCCGGGTTGGGGATAGACAATCAGAGAGATATAATTGATTTTTGGGTCATCTCCCGTGATGGACCTAGCCTGCATAAGCTGGGGGACTTGGATTATTAGATACGTGTTAAATATACAGAATTTGGTTCCATCTAAAACAGACAAATCCATCACTACTTTTAGAACTCCCCTCTTATAATTGGTTATTTGAATGTTCTAATATTAGGAAGGTAGATTTGCAATATGATTTCATAAATTTTCCCCTTACCCTCTTCACCATAGGTTTTGTTGTTGCTGCTGAGTCATTTCAGTTGTGTCTGACTCCTCGTGACTCCATTTGAGTCACTCCATTCCATTCTTGGCAAAGACACTGGAGTGGTTTGCCATTTCCTTCTCCAGCTCATTTTACAGATGAGGAACTGAGGCAAACAGGGCTAAGTGACTTGCTAGGTATCACACAACTAGTGTCTGAGGCCAGATTTGAGCTCAGGAAGATGCATCTTTCCTACGCCAGGCCCAGCACTCTGTCTACTGTGCCACCTAGCCGCCCTCCATAAATTTTAATTCACTGTAAAACCTCCACCATTTTTGAAATAGTAAAAATTTGTATTGTTAATAGTCACTCTTTGGAGGTATTTATTAAAGTTATATAAAGTTACTCTTAGAGTCTCCCCTTTGAGATCACCTCCAGTTTATCCCGTATATATTATTTGTACATAGTTGTTTGCATGTTTTCCACATTAGGTTATGAACTCATTGAAATATCAGGGACTAGTTTTTACCATTTGGAGTTGTTAACTTGTTTGGTTGGGTTTTTTGCCTTTCTCCGTATCCCCAGAATTCAACAGAGTGCCTAGCACATGCTGTTCAGTTGTTTTAGTTGTGTCCTACTCTTCACTATCCCATTTGGGGTTTTCTTGGCAAAGATACTAGAGTGGCTTGTCATTTCCTTCTCTAGGTCATTTTACAGATGAGGAAACTGAGGCAAACAGGGTTAAATTATTTGACCAGGGCTGAGGCTGGATTTGAACTCTGGTTTTCCTGATTCCAGACCCAAGACTCTATCTACTGCACCACCTAGCTGTCCCTGCCTAGCACATACTAGTTATACATATACTTGATGACTACTGTTAAGCAAAGAATTACTGTTTTAAGTGATTTCATGCATTCACTGTTCTTCCTTAAAACTTACCTATCCAACCTACTACATCAACAGAGGCTCTTGAAACACCATTATGGAGGCAGTGGAAGGAATCTTCAGATATCAGACTGCAGTCTGTGGCAGGCCTACCTCATTCTCATCTTACTAAACAACTGAGCCCTGTTTTGCTTCTGTTTACTCCCAGTCCCTGAACATCTAGATACATGTGGCTCTTAAAGGACCTTTGTGAACACACATCATAGAATACTTCATCACTTTGTTCAGTGTTTACCATAAAGAATTCTGGGAGAAAATACACTTTCTCAAGAATCCACTTAACTATCACTTTTAAATATGACCAGAGTTTCTTCATGAGGTACTGAAGCAGGAAGAGACATATTTTAGAAATGACAAGTCTGATTTCTAAACAGATTCACTGCCTTGAGTGCTCAGAATAAAATCATTATTCTGAAGGCAGTACCTAATAATGAAATACTCAGCCACAACCACTGCTCAAAATATCCTCCAAAGCTAA